AACAATTAATTAATTTTATATGGCCTAATCATAAATATAAAAAAAGTTTAATTAGTAATCTTATATGTTATTAATATCACCAGTAGCTCATCTCATTCCATATTAAAATGCTAAGAAAGCTTGATGAATTAGTATACAAAACCAATACCGTAAGACCAACAAGCTAAAATAGATAAAAAACTACTTGATGCAGTTATTCATGGCAACTTGCTATTTAAGATTGTTGAGAACCCTTATGTTCTTAAATTTCTTAATGAATTAGCTCCAAATTATAAACCACCCTCTGCTAATACATTAAGTGCTAAAGTTCTCAATAATTCATTTTCATCTTATCTGGAAAAGAAGTTTGAAATAATGGAATCTATTACTAATATTATAATTACATTAGATAGATAGCAAGATATATCAAGAAACTCTATCTACGGTTTTATGGCTTTAAAAGAAGATCAAGAATATGTTTTGGACATTATTGATCTATCATCAAACTAATATACTGCAGCATTCCTTAAGGATGAACTTGAAAAAATTCTTTAATTAAGTTCATTTACTATTAATTCTTCAGTTATTGCTTGTGTTATAGATAATCTTTTCATTATAATTAAGATGAGAACAGACCTTCAAAAAGACTATTCAAATATTGTTCTAATTCACTGCTGTCTCTATATCTTTAATCTACTTGCAAAGAACATTTCTGCCTTTCGGCCTTTACTTACAGTTATAATAAATAACCAAAAGCTTGTTAATTTCTTTACTTCTTCCTATATCTGGTTTCGAATACTACATGATTAGCAAAAAAAAGAAGGATTGAGTTATTCATTAACAACATTTTGTGAAACAAGATAGTATTCTCTTGTAAAAGTCTGTTTAGGTGTAAAAACTTATGAAAGAGCATTTAATTCGTGTATTAGGCTTAGCAGAACTAACAATTATCCTATAATTAAAGCAGAAATTCAAGATATAATTAATAACTGTTACCATTTTGCTAATAATGATATATTGTTAACAGTACTTATTCCTATCGTAGATACTATTGGTCACCTTGAATTAAGAGATACTATATTAGCAGATATTTTTAAGAAATTAATAGGCATTTATAATACTATTTCTACAACAAATATTCTAATTGATGGTTTTAAAAATCATACTTTAGTAGCTATAAATAAATGAACCTATGAGTTTTCTGATAGTATCTATTTCGTTGCTTTTTTTTTATTGCCTAATCATAAGCAAATTGCCGTATCAAAAATTATGTCAGGAGATTTAATCATTAAGGCTTTGTTGGAACTAGCAAAAATTTAGAGATTTGATAAAAGAAAGTAACACTTTTATTAAAAAGCTTATTAACTATAAAAATGGAGATACTCCTTTTGATACTCACAAAAATATTAATACAAGTCCTAGAATCTTTTGGAAAAAATTTACTGAAGGCTTACCACTTCTCTGACATTTTGCTATAAAAATATTCTCAATCGTTCCTCTTAGCAGCTATTAAATGTCTATTTTCTAGTCTTGGATTAGTAAAAACAAAATCACAAAACAAAATATCTTCTACTCTAATGGGAATGCTTAGAATGCTTTGTTATAATCTTCAACAAAAACTATCAGAATTACCAAAAAAAAAAAATAAAGGAAAAAATTTAGTTTCATTAGCTAATCCTGTTACGGATATGAATATTAAAAATACTAATATTGATCTTGTTTTTGAAGAATTTGATGAAAAATTCTTACAAATTAGCATTGAGGCAATAGATCTTCCTACGAATAATAAATCAGTATTAGAAAATTTTTTCGATATTAAGCCTTTTGAACAAGACCAAAATATAAGTGAAGAAAATTTAACTGTTTTTTCATAAGAGCCTC